TATGTCACGGTGCTTTATGTCTGATATGGATTTCAACCAATCAACAGTGCAGTATCAGCACTGTAAACTTTAGACTGAAGAATATGTCATGGTGCTTTATGTCTGATATGGATTCTCAACCAATCAACAGTGCAGTATCAGCACTGTAAACGTTAGACTGAAGAATATGTCACGGTTCTTTATGTCTGATACGGATTCCCAACCAATCAACAGTGCAGTATCAGCACTGTAAACTTTAGACTGAAGAATATGTCATGGTGCTTTATGTCTGATATGGATTCTCAACCAATCAACAGTGCAGTATCAGCACTGTAAACTTTATACTGAAGAATATGTCACAGTTCTTTATGTCTGGTACAGATTCCCAACCAATCAACAGTGCAGTACCAGCACTGTAAACTTTAGACTGAAGAATATGTTACGGTTCTTTATGTCTGGTACGGATTTCCAACCAATCAACAGTGCAGTTCTTTTTTGAGGAAAAATATCTTTATAATAAAATAATAAAGAGATGCATACTAATTTTAAAGATGACTACTTATAACATAATAAATAACATTGTCAAGGGAAAATCAGCACACATATAAAAACCAATGTAAGAATATACTACCATCATGAAAGCTAAACTTGTGGTATTTTTATCTAGGAAATTGACTGATAGTCAATTTTACACAAAATAATTCAGAATAGATTTTTATAAGGACGTATAAACTTTAGAGCATAAGTTACTTTTTAGAAATATTGGACAAACTGCATGAAAAATTATGTACTTGTGAAAGATGTTAATTTTTTACAATATTGGATGAGGCGTGGGTGAGCTTAAAAGACTGCAACGAGAAATGGGATACCAACCACAAGGTTGAAAGGACTTTCAAACATAATGTAGAGAGTGTAAAAAAAAGATATTTACTGGACTTTATTCCTGTTGTTGGTGTTTCAAATAGTAGGTATTTAAACTAAACAAAATGCTCAGTAAAGAAAACTGTATTTATACTAGGAGGATTATTTGTGTAAATTATGTAAGATGAAACACCTATATGTGGCCAGGAATACCAAGAAGATATGGCTACATCATGATAGAATGTTAAAAACCATGTACTAAGTTTTTATGAATCACGAATTTGTTGTCATGCTATCCCATTCCCTGACTCTACCCCCGTGTACTTTTGTGCGTGTAGTTTTGGAAACCAACATACAAAAATATTGAAAGGCCAAGTTTTTCAAGATGTTTGGTTTAAGAATGACTTTGCTTTCATTTGTTTAAGGTTGTTATAATGGAAATTCTGGTGTCAAATAATATGTAATCAGAGTGAATACAATAAGTGTTAAAAGGGCACCATAGAATATTTGACATTGACCTTTGATAAAAGCAAGCTACCTACATAGTTCAAAACTAAAAATTAACTTAGTGATATATATCTAGATAATTAAATATACTGTTCTCACATTTTTACTTATAACAGCTATGATTCATTGTTTCAAAAGTTGGATATTCTAGCTGTTAGTGTTATTTTTGGTTGTAATCCCAATAATATCGTATGAGCTTTGTCTAGCTTAGAACATTTAGGTTTGTCCTAAATACATATACCAAGCTCACAATGGAAAATAAAGATGATAGTAAGTTTTTTGTATGTAAAAAAACAAATCAACATTAGAATTTTTTAATACCTCATATGGATATGTAATTATGTTACTTCTCAACTTTTCAATAACTAAAAAATAATTCAATCATAAGTTTATAGGCAAGTATTCATGCAGGTTCTTTTCTGTCTCTGCATCATGTAGACTTACAGTTTCCATGTCCTCCCCATCCTCAAGACTCCTACTCTATGACCTATTGTTTGGATCCATCTTCTTTATCAGAGCTTCAACATAGTTGATCTCTTCTTCCAATGTAAAGATACTCTTCTCCTACTTTCACTTTCTCCTCAATCTGCTTCTTTGAGTCTTTTGCTTGCTCAACTTCTTTGCTATCTGTCCTCTTTACATTTTATTTCTGAGGCTGTGCATTGTGACCCTAACAGTTTTACTGGAAAGAAAGGCTGCACCTACCAATTTTCCACACTGGCTTTAATTTCTTCATTAGTAGCTTTCCAGATGACTTGTTTTTATTTTGGGGACTTGCTTGGTCAGGATTTCATGCTTTCTGGAATTAGACTTACTTCAGGGAACTGTATTTGGTGCATTTCCTTTGAGAATAAGTTCTTCGTACTTTGGAAGTTAGACCTCATCGGTAGTTATCTCTTCTCACTGTGGTTTCATACTTATACAAGTCTAGAGGGCCCCAGAAGATTTTCTCAACCTTGTGAGCCTCCCTATCCTGCTACTTTTCATTTGGCCCCTTTCTGGCACCTCCCTCTTGACAGACTAGCTATTGATGGTTTGAGAGATGAGTCATTTCAGGAACCACCCTTTGTCTCTGATCTTGTGTGAGCTTGGCTCTTACACTTTCCACACCTGTGGATTCCCTTCACAAGAGGCTCTTAGATCACACAGTTGCTCTCTCAGACTATCTTTCAGCTCTTAACCTCCACTTTCTAACACAAGAACTCAACTAAGAGATTTGCATGCTACTGGCCTTGAGACAACTCTCACCTAATTTTGCATGTCTTAATGTGAACTGTGCTGGTGCATGATGATGTCATCATGTGACAAAAGCCCTCCACCAATGTTCTTTATACTTGTTTGTCATATGTATGTTGTCCAATTTCCTTAATTCCTCAAAATGTTCAAATTGTTACTCAAGATAATACAAGTGCAACAAAATGCAACACATTTATTATTTATTACAGCCTTAGGAAGCATTTAAATAGTTCTAATGTATGTTACAGATATAGTACAAATGTCATTATTTATATTTACATAGTAATCTTTAACACATTTATTATTTATTGCAGCCTTAGGAAGCATTGAAATTGTATTAACAAGTGTTATAGATATAGCAACAATATTAATGTAGTAATTTTTAACATGGTTATTTGTTATTGCAGCCCTAGGAAACATTGACATTGTTCTAATATGTTACAGATATAGGAACAATGTCATTATTTATATTAATGTAGTAATCTTTAATGTTTATTTTTTATTGCAGCTTTGGGAAACATTGCACTGTTTCTAGTGAGTGTTATGGATATATAGGAACAATGTCACTATTTATATTCATGTAGTAATCTTTAACATGTATATTTTTTATTGTAGCTTTGGGAAACATTGGAATTTTTCTAGTGAGTGTTACAGGTATAGCAACTGTGTTAGTATTTGCCATATTCTTCCAAGAATCCATCTATTTGTTTCACCACTGGCCACGGCAACAGTGCTTTCTTACACTACTGTGTCTGAATACCTTTCCAGTGAGTTTATTTTTCTTATTAAAGCTAAATACCATACCTAAAATAAGCATTTTTTGAAGATTTTCTATAGATTCCATAAATGTGTTACCTTGAGTTATTCTTATATTTATAAGTTGATAGACTCATTAATGTGTAAGAATTTTTTTTCTGTGTCTACTATAAATGATGCATTATTAATATTTGTACCTTAAAATTGCATAAGTTGTTAGTTCTGGTTGCAATCTGAAGACTTTTTTTTAGGAAAGATGATTATCATCCTTCCTCTGTGGAACTTGAGATGTAACTTATCTGTTAAAGTTTCTTTCTAGTTTACAAGTTTTATATATGAAATGAAATTTAAGGTTAATAGCCTCTTTTAAGAATTTATCTGTTCATCTCTCTGTGTAACCAGTAACTGAAAATGTGATTATGATTTATTTGAAAGAACATACAAAGCAAGCATAGTGGCCTTCCAATGGATTTAGTAGCATGCTAATGTGTTGTCTATTACAGTGTTGATACACTAGGATATGCTTCTAATGTGTTGTCCATTACAATGACGTGCTGCTAATGTGTTGTCTATTACAGTGTTGGTATATTAGGAAATACTTCTAATGTGTTGATACGTTAGGACATGCTGCTTTACATTAATACGAATTTTTTTCTTGATATTAAACCATAGCAATGAGTGTTGATGTACCTAATATGAATTCAAGAAGCTGCATGTTCTCATGTTTTATGATTTAATATTTATTATTTCTTTCAGTTTGCTGCTGGTGGATTCTTCATTTCAATGGTCTTTCCCAATTTAGCAGAAACTGCAAAGACTATAATACTTATGTAAGTTGTATATATATATATACTTATATATAAAATTCAGAAAAACCAGGATCTCCAAATCAGTTTTAATAAGTATTACTATTCTGGGTTAAAAGCTCAAAATCTAGACTATTTTAATATTTTTTTAATTATTAAATATGAAGGATTTTGTACTCTTGTCTTTGGTAAGGATGTATAAATGTCCATATGTTGTGTTTAACTGCTGACACCCAATATTGACAGGGAATAATACTAATACTTGTTAGCAACAGCTAGAAAACATCTGAGTGAATAGGTCTTTCATACAAACAGCTCTGTATGTAGTGAGAATATGATGCCTATTCCTTGTCCATCAAGTGGCATTCCAAAAACAGGCAAGTTCAATTCATGTTGAACCTGGAATGAATAAGAAATGCTCTGTAGATTGTCTCAAACCACTGCATGTGATATAGCTTAGTGCATTTTCATAAAGAAAAAGGTATGATTGTTCCCAAAACAGTTTCAGTAATTCTCCAATTCTCTATCTTAACCCTTTCCAGATGGGTGATGGGTCAAAGGCCATGTCATTGCATTTGTTGACTCACATTCAAAATTTTATTGAACTACTATTTCATGAATTT